ACACATTTTGCCGCACACCATTTTTGGCTTTTGACTGTACGTACATTTTTAGTGTGGATCCTACACACTGTTTTATAAATAAGACCCCAGATCAGAATCAAGAGCATCAGGAGCCTACCAAATGCACTTCTGGTAATTTCACGGCCTTTAGTGTACTTGGGTACGGGCTGGGGTCGGCCCAAGTTCGGAAGCTAGGGCTGACCTGCCTGCAGCCCGTGAGCGCTCGCTATATTAAATAATAGGGCACTCAGATAGCATCAAACAACGTCAAAATACGTCCACTAAAAGTGCATTATTTTCACACAGATAGGCTCGGATTGGTAGTATACTTAGTGTTAGTGTTCAAATAAATATGGTCCATCCAGATCCAGTTGGTCAAAATCAGGTAAAAATTCAGACAGTTTGTTGTGGCAAGTCAAAACACTCACTCAGAGAGTGAAAGTCTGGCTCTGAAATCTCACATCTTGCGAGATTTGAGTTGCTGCAGAAAGTTACCACTGAAGCGACATTACAAACGCGAGGAGTTACTCTGTTTGGAGTAGTCATGGCTGACTTTTTACCCAATTTTGACCAACTGGGTCTGGATGAGCCATTTGAATTTGATGAACGCCCGTATTTATTTGAACACGGAGCACATGGACGTACACGGAAACAGAGCACATTGAAACTGAAGAGCGGACGAGGAGAGAGAGGGAGCAGCAACAGGCAGAGGAACATGTCTGAATCCAGCTAAAGGTAAACACAGACGTTCATTTCTCCTTTCCGTTATGTTGTCAGATAATTATACTAACAATCCGAGCCTATCTGTGTGAAAAAAATGCACTTTTAGTGGACGTATTTTGACGTTGTTTGACGCTGTCTGAGTGCCCTATTATTTAATACAGCGAGCGCTCACGGGCTGCAGGCAGGTCAGACCTAGCTTTGTACTGGAGAAATGTCACATATTGAACATCCTATCACTCATTTAGACAAAAGTAGATCGGAAAATAGGGCCCAGGTTGAAAAAAACATCAGTTAGTTCCCCTTTAAGTCAAGTCAGGTTAAACTTATTTATAGAGCACATTTAACAAACGCCGCAGTTGACCAAAGTGCTGAACAGGCACAACACACCAACAGAAGAGAACAATAAACACAATAGAGAACAAACTGCAGCACAACAGAGCACAAGGCTCAAGAGAAAATTTACTCAAGGTGTCAAGCTCAAATCAATCAGATGCCAGCGAGAAGAGGTGGATCTTCAGCTGTGATTTAAAGGTTTCTATAGTCAGAGTACTTTAGGTGTGACCACCACAAAGGCTGGGTCGCCACTGTTTGCTTCAGGGAGCATCCAGGAGCATCTGATCTGTCGACCTCAGTGCTCTAACGTGGTATGTAGCCACAGCTATCTACGGCACAGAGGCATAAAAATCAATCTGTGGTTATTTTACAATGGGCTGATGTTGGCTGCATAATACGTAACCAGCTGATCTGCCAAGTCTGCGCCTATGTCACCAGATGATGATCCATGTAGAAGACATGGAAATAAAGAAGCAACATTGTTCTTGTGTTTCAGCATAAAGCTAGTTAGTGTGATAGGTACGACAAGAGAAAGATATGATCAGACATTTCATCCTGTTTAGCTGCTTAGCTTACAAACTTGTACTGATAGTAGATTTACGTACAGATTCCAACAGTGCGTTTAACTTTTGACTTCACACGAGAAAAGTGTTTCAGAAAGAGGACTAATCAGTGTGTTTCTGCTAACTGGAGTGTCGACTTCCCCGTATTCAACACATCAGGACAGAGCAGTTGTTGTCACTAAACTCTGACACAGAAGCATTCAGCCCGGCGAACATACTCTGGTCGATGTGGCAGCTTGAGCAGGGTATTTTTATCTAAATGTAACCTCAACAATACTGTTCTGAAACTCACAGCAGCACACTGGAGGATATAACACGACCACGCTGTCGTTATATTTAACAAATGGTGCTGATATTTAGAGCTGGAAATTAATTCTGCATGTGTGAGCTCTGTGTTAAATTCACCACAGCACCAAACGTCCGAGGACGTGAGGTCACGCCGGCCTCGCTGCGACGCTGCGTCTGCTTGTTTGCAGTTACAAACAGAAGAGGGACAGTTTCAATATGGACAGTGTTTACAGCACACACACACACACACACACACACACACACACACACACGTACCGTTGACATTGTAGTTGACCTCTCCAGCGTAATGCAGCAGTCTGAATTCGTCACGGCCCATTACCTTCCGGGTCTTTGCATCACCCAGCTTGTGACTGCAGACACACACACACACACACACACGGATACATCGCACACACATATTCAATAGTTACAGTCTGGTACAACGAGCTGGTCAACAGCCAGAACAAACTGCTGTCAGTATATTTGTGGCACGAGACGAGAAGAGAAACCAAACTAACGTGACAAAGTGTGGATGTCCTCCCACAGTGTCCTCCAGCTTCTCTAGGAAGGTGAGGTCACTGGCGTCTCCGGGTCTCAGACACTCTTCATCCTGTGAGAGGACAAGAAGAGCAGTCGGTCAGACATTATCTTTCCAAACCAAAAACCAGTCTCAGGCCTGCGTCTCATATCATGTCACAGTATTTATTAGTACAGTATTTATTCAGAGTGCATAAATCAGTGAAAGGATCAAACCGAGTCCTTTGTAATTTATTATGCAGATGATGCCAGATTTTGCTCCTGAGCATTAAACATTAATCATTTTGGGAGATACACTTATTCACTGTCTTGCTGAGAGTTACATCAGAAGATCGACAGCAAATATGGAGCCAGGAACCAGTTAGCTTGGCTTATAGAGAATAGGTTCATGACACGACTTCAGGACACAGCAGCTTGAGTAGACAACAGGTTGTGATATACTTTAACTAGCTTGAGAACACGGTGGAATGTTGAACGTCTGCTGCAATTATTAACTGTTCTCTGCCTGACCCGTACAGATATGTGTTAATCAGTGACCCAAACTGCAACCCACAAACCGGAGCTGAAAGCTTCTTGTAATGACCATCACTAGTAACTAGTAACTGATTTGCTGTTGGTTATATCAAATGTCATTTCCAGTAGATGGCGCAGTTGTGGCTCAGGAGGTAGAGAAGCTTATCCATGATAGGATCTCCAGCTCCGTCAGTCCATATGTTGAAGTAGCCTCGAGCAAGATACTGAACCCCCAGAAAGACTACAAAGGCACTATACAAGTGCAGGTAAATATCACAATGTAAAACGTGGGCTTTCTGTTTAAAAAGTACAAACGTAGGAAGATAGCATGTGCTCACCCATCTTTTAAGGGGTTGTATTTTAAGTACGATCCAAAACGCACAACTGATTACATACGTGGTTTGTTCACATGAAGTTCCAGAGGTGCATACTGTACTGAACAGATTCATTGAGGATAGAGACGCTTGCCTGCTGTCAGGGCACTGTGCTAGGCCTACATATTTGCAGAGGGAAATATTTATACCGGACATTATGGACAGAGAAATTTAAAAATGCTGGATTTGCTGTGTGAGAGAGAAGCAGAGAGAGACTGGTAAAGGGGAGGAGAAGGTGGAAGTTGTATTACTGCAGGTCTCTGAAAGTGTTCATTTATTCAGAACACTGCTTTTATGGCCTGCCCGCCCAAAACCTGTGAAACTTCTCGACAAGCTTACCTGAACTAATCGCATCACTAGTTCGTACAGATCAGGTCCGTCTGTGTCCTTTAGTTTTGAAAAATAGTGCTACTTTACTTCCCTGTTCAGCTTCTCTCTCAGGGAATGTTGCACTTGCTCTTTGACCAGTTAATTCTTGTTTTTGTCTCCCTTAAAGAAGCGTGTTCTGAAGTGTGAGTGCTACTACCCAGAATGCAATGTGGCATGACATCGTTGCCTATTCTCTATACGTCTGCTGGCACCTCTAAAGCTCACTAATCAATACATCTTACTATATAATGACAAAAACTGTGTGTCTGTGTGTCTGTTCCATGTTTTTCTCCTCACTGACTTGGTCAATCCATGTGAAATTTGGCACAGTGGTAGAGGGTCATGGGAGGATGCCAATGAAGCAATATTACATCAATTGGCCAAAGGGGGGCGCTACAGCAACAGTTTGAAATGTCAAACTTTGAATGGGCATATCTCATGCCCCGTATGTCGTAGAGACATGAAACTTTGCACAGAGATGCCTCTCCTCATGAGGAACACATTTGCCTCAAGAACCCATAACTTCAGCTTATATAGATTTTCCGCCATTTTGAATATTTTGAAAAACACTTCAAATGGATCTCTTCCTAGGAAGTTTGAGAGATCTGCATGAAACTGGGTGAACATAATCTAGGGACCAATATCTAAAGTTCCCTCTTGGCAAAAGTTGGAAAACTTACTAAAACTGAGCTTCTATAAGGCAATGAATATTGCGGAGGGCGTGGCTCATCACATAAAGGTGTATAACATCTCAAGGGTTTCACCCATCACCACGCAACTTTGTAGGCATATGACCACACATAATCTGAGGGGACCCCTCCATTATTGACCCCATCAAACAAAATGGGGGCGCTAGAGAGCTCATTTCTTATCTAGGCCTAACCGCCATATGGATTTTTCATTGTCTGTCCCACGTTTTTCTACTCACTGACGTGGTCAATCTATGTGAAACTGCACATAGGCATTGAGGATTGGCATAGGAAGAAGGAGACAAAGCTACCAATGGCTATGGACTAGTTATATCTTGTTTGTTTAATCTGTACAACAACCAAAGTGTAAAAGTGCTATAGTTTTATAGGGTTATGAACTGTACTATATATTTTGTCATGTTGGCGACCATCTCCAAGATTTTCTAAAATGTTGAACTACGACACCTCACTCATGGCATTCATTTCATAAGTGAGTGTGAATGAATGAATGACCCTTCTGCAGCAGAGACAGCTCAGAGTGTCTCCTCACCAGGATGGAGATGATGCCTTTGAACTTCTCCTCCACCAGGTCACAGATGATCTTGTTGTTGAAGTACTGCACCGGCTCCCACTGCGAAGACACCAGCACTGATTCAGTGACACATCATGAGAATAAAAGCATTTATTGGTATAAATTACAACAGAAAGAAATTGTTTATAAAGAGCCACAGCCAGCTGACTTTTCTCTCAGTCTGAACTCTGACCTGGACGTAACTCCTGCCAGATAAATCAGTCCAAACCTGAAACCATTACAACTGTTCCACACTATTCAGCGACTGTAAAGTCCGTCATCTAGAGAATCCCAGAAATCCTGGCACACAGACACGCCGCTCGCCCACTCGTATGTGGACACACGCATGAACACAGAGTTCCACATGCTGAGCGCGGCAGCGTTAGGTTCTGTTAGCACTAACGGCCACATAATTTCCACAGAGATGACAGAGAGCACGGCCCACGGCCCTGATGTCAGATGATAATGGGCTCTTTGAGAGGTGAGTCCAAGTTTCTCCCACAACCTGCTCTCTGACCACTGACTTTATATCAGACTGACACAAGAGGCCCTTGTTCCAAAGAGGCAAAACAAACTATAACTGAATATAAACGGAGCAGGAGAATTAGAGATCATCTTTCAACACAGACCTCCTCTGACATGTCATTTCCTTAAGAGGGATCATTTAAGACTTAACTGTGAATAAATAACAGACACTTTGACTCAGCAATAACAGAGTTAGAGGCTAAATGTCTGATGGAGCAGCATCTTCTGAGAATATGTGCACTTACTGTAAATCACTTTGAGTAAAAGCGTCAGTGAAACAGCAGAGTTATAAATTAAATTTACAAACACAACTGTGACCGCAATCACATTAAGAGCTCTGTGTGAAGCCTGACCTGTGGCTGAGGAGGAGGAATGGGCTGATAATGGAGGGTTCAAACTAAATGTCAAAACAGCATGAAGAAGGTGGACGGAGAGGAAGAGGAGTGGAGGAGGGATTAAAAATAAGAGAGCTGGTGAAGGTGTATTTTTTGCAATGACATAAGTTGCGATGCTGTCTCAGATTCAGAGCTTATTATTATGAGCATTCAGTGTCTCCTACAGAACTCGACTCCTACTCGACTGAAGTTAAAGAGCAGCACCACGTTTTCAATTTACACCTCGGCGAAAGGTTTCTCCATGGTAACCAGAGACCACCTGTGAGTCTATTTCTGTCACGTTCAGTATGAAATCTGCACAGACAGCTGTTAAAAATCACACAAATATCCTCCTGTATACGCTCACCAGCCACTTTATTAGGTACATCTGCCTTAATTCTTGGTGTCACAGATTCAACAAGGTGCTGGAAACATTCCTCAGAGATTTTGGTCCATATTGACATGATGACATCACACAGTTGCTGCACATCCATGATGAGAATCTCCCGTTCCAGCACATCCCAAAGGTGCTCTATTGGACTGAGATCTGGTGACTGTGGAGGCCATTGGAGTACAGTGAACTCATTGTCATGTTTGAGATGATGTGAGCTTTGTGACATGGTGAGTTATCCTGCTGGAAGTAGCCATCAGAAGATGGGTACACTGTGGTCATAAAGGGATGGACACACTCAGCAACAATACTCAGGTAGGCTGTGGTGTTTAAACCATGCTCAGTTGGTACTAAGAAAATCTCCCCCACACCATTACACCACCAGCAGCAGCCTGAAGCGTTGATACAAGGCAGGATGGATCCATGCTTCCATCTGAATGTGGTTTTTCCAATCTTCTATTGTCCAGTTTTGGTGAGAAACCCGTGTGAATTGTAGCCTCAGTTTCCTGTTGTTAGCTGACAGGAGTGGCACCTGGTGTGGCCTTCTGCTGCTGTAGCCCATCTGCTTCAAGGTTGGACAAGGTGTTGTTGCTTCAGAGATGCTCTTCTGCACACCTTGGTTGGAACCAGTGCTTATTTGACTTCCTGTTGCCTTTCTATCATCTTGAAGCAGTCTGGCCATTCTCCTCTGACCTCTGGCATCAACAAGGCATTTTGGCTCACTGGATATTTACTCTTTTTGGGACCATCCTCTGTAAACCCTAGAGATGGTTGTGCTGAAAATCCCAGTAAATACTCAGAGCAGCCCGTCTGGCACCAACAACCATGCCACGTTCAAAGTCACTTAAATCACCTTTCTTCATCATTCTGATGCTCCGTTTGAACTTCAGCAGCTCGTCTTCACCATGTCTACATGACTAAATGCACTGAGTTGCTGCCACGTGATATTTGCATTAATGAGTACTTGAACAGGTGTACCTAATAAAGTGGCTGGTGAGTGTGTGTGTTTTGAACTGATTAACTGTATATTTATTGACTGATCAGCTCCCAGTCTGTGAGCAGCAAAAAAAACCCTCGCTGATTTCATTCTGTGGCGCTGACATGAAAAATATTTTAACTCAGTAAATGTCAGTCAGCCTGGTGGAGACAGTCTGACCGGTCCATAGATGTGTAACAGGTCTGTCTCTGCCCTCTCTGCTTCGAAAGGAGATGAAGCTCAAACACAGCTGTTTCTGTGGACAAACGCTGAACGCAGGGCGGAGTCGGTGTGATTTAAACACGACACCAAAACAATCTAGTTGATAAACAGGTCTACAGATAAGAGGGAAAAAGGTGTAGATTTGATTTTAGGGTGAACTGTCCCTTTAAATTCTGGACTAAACAATGGAGGCAGGTGGGGGTGAGAGTGTGGACGCTGAGGGAGAGAAGAAACTGGTGACTGACCGTGATGCCTTCGGCCTCGTACTCCTCCTGCTCTGACTTGAGGGTGAGCTCGATGAAGAGCTGCTGCAGCTTCTCGTTACAGTAGTTGATGCAGAACTGTTCAAAGCTGCAACAAACAACGACACACACAACAACACACACAACCACTGAGTGAAAAAAGCCATCAACATGTTATTGGTGTTCTTACTAACTCACATTACGCTGGTGGTGAGTAAATAACTACCCATAATTCATAGCATGTATGAATACAGGTTACATAAACACTGTGTAGGTTCAGACTGGAGGTTAACTATTAACCAAGCTCCACTTACTGGTCATTTTCTGGAGCTTTAAGCTACATCTCAGCATATGCCAGAACAAACGTGCTGGTTGGCCGCCAGCTGAAGTCTTTGCAGTGTGTTAATGTGCAACTTTTTGGCAGAGACATGGCGATTAAGGCGACGCAGCGGGGGGCGTTCATCACCACTAATTGTGGTGTCGGGGCTTTTAGGTTGCTCAATAACCAACTGAGGAAACTTCAGCAGGCGATGAAGGCCATGAGATGCAGCTGAAAGCTCCAGAAAATTCCAGAAAGTCGACCTTGTGCAGATTTTTTTTTTTCAAATCAAATTGTGTTTTATTTCATTACCTACAGATTTAGAGGGACATTTTAACTTTTGGTTACATTTAAATAAGCGAAGGTTTAAATGCAGCATTAACATAAATCCTGAACACTGTACCTGTTGTTCTGGAAGACCTCAAAGCCGTAGATGTCCAGCAGGCCAATGACTGAGCAGTTCTTGTAGGAGTCATCCTGTTAGAGAAGCACAACAAAACTTCAGATCTATGCTCACAAATTTTAATCAGGATTAAATAAAATGTGCATTAAAACAAAATTAAATTTCACTCCAACTTTTGCAAATTGACATTGACAATAACATTAGTATACAGCCTGTATATTGGTCTAACCTGGCATGTAATAACTGACACAGTAATTATACTGTTTGAAAGTGAAGTGTGTACAATTTAGGGGGATTTGGTGCTTCGCAGCCAGCTAAAACATCTACTGGTTAGAATTCCTTCAATGTTCATTGTTCAGGAGGTTTGTATCAGGAGCTGAATGATCCACAGAGGTCTCCTCGCAAAAATAAACAGACCAATCAATGTTTCTTTTACACTTTTTGGCATCTTGGAGACGAGCGGCTCGCCCACCACATGCTTATGTGCTCACCCCTTTTTTCTCTGACAACTTCATGTATGATCACCTTTTTCTGATCAAGACATTTGGGAGGTTTTTACCGTGAGGCAAATTATCCACAGAGGTCTCTTCTTCTCCAAAACAAATGGAACCTGTGCTTTAAACAGCATTAAACACTGAATAAAGCAGTTTCACGATACACATCAGTGCATCTCTGAAGGTGTTTGGCAGGTCGGTGTTGGCAGCTTGTCCACCACCTGTTAATGTGAGATCACTTTTTAGCAGGAGCCGAATTAGGCCTCTTCCTCTCAGAATGAAACAGACCAGGTGATTTAAACTGGTAAAAACACTGAACAGTGATCACAGCCTGGCCACAGAGACTGACAGACACAGGCAGACCTGGCTGCCGAGAGAAGACAGAACACTGACGCTGCTCGCTGCAGAGAAACTTCTTACTATGGTGGCCCTAAAAGGCCAGTATTTGTTTGTCTGTTCTGGGCTACTGTAGAAACATGTAGGTGCAACATGGTGATCTTCATAAACAGAGACCTGCTCGCTATGTAGATATAAACAGCTCATTCTAAGGTGACAACAACACACAACAGTTCTTATTTTAAACACTAAAGGAAACACACTGATTATATTACATTCCCTTTCTGACAATATTTCCCCCCAAATCCTGCAAACTGGACGTTTAATGTTGAGTTATGTTCATGATGTGGATTTGTAAGCGTCCACAAGGTGGAGCTGTACTGTAACAGAATAAAGAGGAGACGTCAACATGCTCTGAACTACAGTGTTGGATAGTGTCTGGATCTAGTTTGAAAAATGTAGTGAGTGAATATGTTTAAAACTTTACATCCTTAAGTGGAAGATTTTCACCTGAGCAGTCACACCAGGGTCACTGCTGTGTGTGTGTGTGTGTGTGTGTGTGTGTGTGTGTGTGTGAGTACCGTGTATGCCAGTGAACTGTTGATCTTGTTAACCAGCCACGTGAAGGTGCGTCCGTACACCGCCTTGGACAAAGCATCCCGAGCCGATGACGCCTGCTCCAGGTTCAGTGGGCTCACCAGCTGATGAGGACACACACACACACACACACACACACACACACACAGTCAGGAGGAGGAGAGACAGACAGACGGACAATAACAGTGTTACATAGAGTTCAGCAGGGACAGTCAGACAAGTTACAACATAATTACAGCGGACCAGACCAGACATTACACAGACAGGAAAGCTTTGTGTATAAATGCTTATCACACGCTCACGCTACAATGAGTGGGTGTGTGTGTGTGTGTGTGTGTGTGTGTGTGTGTGTGTGTGTCCAAACCCACCTCCTCTCCCTTGGCAATTATCTTCTTGTGTGTGAGTGCCTCTGTCAGCACTGGTCCATTCACTCCTAACAACTGGAGAAGCACAGCAACATTAGTACGACACACTAACGACACGTGAGTGATCTCGCTCGCCGTGTAAACAGACGTCATTGCGCTCGGCAGCAGTGACATCCTGAGTATGGTATCTACTGATTATGTCTAATGAAGTGTAATTGAAAAATTGAGATGGGAAGGAACGGGGAGATGTTTCTGAGGAGAGTGTTGTATGACTCACATTTCTGAAGCAGTGTGCGGACGACTTAAACAAATAAGTCTTTAACAGTAATTGAAGGAAATATGAATATGTCAATTCCCAAGAAGCCCAGGATCAAGCCCACGCCCATAATTATCAGGCATCTCAAATTAGGAATCAGTCTTAGCTGGCAAATCCTCACAATGACACATTTTCATTCTACTTTAATAACTGGGAGTAAAAGCTCCAGAGGAATCCTGACCTGTTAGGAGTTACAAGGAAATGTGTTCTGGCTGAAACAGTGAGTGGGACAAGAGAGATGTTCTGGGAAACAATCAACAATTAAATGATTCATTAAAAGATTATTTTTGACAAAAACAGATAATTTTTGTGACTGATTTTGAGTAAAACAGCCAAATATTTCTGCAGCTGTCGATACAGTGCCTCAGATATTGTGCACCACTCAAGGATTCTTAGAGAGAGTCGACTAAAACTTGAAATCATATCTGCGTTCCCCTGAATGCGACCTGTTTAACAGAATAAAGGAGTACCCCCAAATAATAATTGCTGACCTCGATTTTAAGATGTGATGCTGTTACTTACGTTGATTACAACAAGGAGAGTCTAATAACGTTCTTGTATTTTATTTTAAATTACTGTGGGCTATAATATTTGGGAGACATCTTCATATTGTCACAGTGTGTTTCTCAAGACTGTGGCTTTACAGAAATGACGTTCCCAAAACAGTATGGGGCACCTAACAAGGGGTATCACTGATGAGGATGTGGTCAGTCGGAGAGAAGATTACTTGTTTATCAGAGAGGGTTTGCTGGAAGAATTTACGCAGCTGCGCCAAAATACCTACAGTATTTCAAGTTGTGTACACATTTATTGTTGATCTATATTTAGGGTCCGGGCAGCTAAGCTGCCAGAACTCTTCTTCTTCTTCTTCTTCTTCTTCTTCTTCTTCTATCATACTTCCCATGGGTGAAAACTCACCAAACTTTGCACAAAGGTCCAGTCTCATGCCAGATATCCTCAGCTGTAAACTCAAGCCAATAGTCCTGATGGTGGCGCTACAGCAAGCGTCTAAAGTTCAAAACTTTGAAAATTCATAACACATCAACCATACGTGCTACAACTTCACAACTTCCATCAAACTGTAGCCTCAATACTGAAGAAACTGTTGTACATTTAAACCTATTAAAAATTATGAAGTTCATCACTCTGTTTTTTCAAAAACTGTAAAACTTCTTAAACCTATCTCCTCCCACAATTTTTGCTCAGTTGACACCAAACTTGCTACAGAGCATCTTCAGACTGTCCTACAAAAACTACGTTTCTCAGATTTTTGATTTATCAAAAATTGAGCCTACAGTGCATCAAAATGTTTGACTGTAAACGGTACTGTAAACATATACATGCAAATTCTTGCTAAACAAATCTTCAATGTTCATGAATATGAATTTTATCTCAAAAACTGAATTTTTGACAGCATTTTGAATTTTGCTCTAATGTGAACAATTGGAGTCAATGTAAAAATGGCAATTTTAAACATCAGTTTTTCACTTATGGAGCAAATCAATCATTGTTACAAACAAATTACCAACATCTCCATGCTGTCTAGATGCAATATGTGTATTTTCAGATTTTTGTCTTAATAACTGAATTTTTTACAGTGGTTTCAAATCTGCCTTTCCATGCACAGATGGCTGCTTTCCTACACAACAGTGAATGGCTTACTCAGTTTGTGAAGCCACTGTTGAGTTGCTACTTGCCAATTAGCTCAGAGCGGTAGATGACCGTCTTAGATTCCAGAGGTTGTGGATTTGAGCCTCAACTGGTGCAGAATCCACATTGTAATGTAAACATCTTCTTGTGCTCCAGCTTATTGATTAAAATTGCCTGAGCGTGACTGATCACTGTGCAGCATCTTCAGGTCTTTTTTCTGCTAGAAAATCTGCCTTCTCATGCTTGAAAATAAACCAAACTTTGCACAAAGATCCAGTGTCAATACTTCAGTGTGAAACCATCTGAGGCTTCTCACTTTGCACATAGCTCAACTAGTTAAACATCAGTTTATCAGTTATGAAGCAAATCAGTCATTGTTAAAATAAATTACCAACATCTCCATGCTGTCTAGATGCAATATGTGTATTTTCAGATTTTTGTTTCAATAACTGAATTTTTTACAGTGGTTTGAAATCTGCTTTTCCATGCATGGACGGCTGCTAAACCTGCACGTCTGGCTTAGTCAATTTGTGAAGCTACACATGAATTGTCACTGACTAATTAGCTCAGTGAGATAGAAATTGATTCTTAGTCTCAGAGGTTGTGAGTTCAAGCCTCAGCTGATGCAAAAGGCAGATTGTGTTGCTAAATTCCTAAATGTCTTTCAATTCTTCTGCTTGTTGCTCAGAATTGCCTAAAAATGCCTGGACCCGACCCATCGCTGCGCAGCAGCTATAATTTATAAAGCTTTCCAATGGTAACTTATAATCTCCTCAAATGGAAATTTAGGAAACATGATAATAATTAAGCTGATGATATTTTGGCATCACACACCTGAACACTACATGTAGCAATTGAGAGTGTGTGAAAACCAGTTGGTGAGTGAACAGAGAAGTCTGAACAGTTCTCGAACAGTAATGGATAAAGTGTTAAAATAGTTGGCTACAGCTAACAGATAAATGGTTAAAATAGACAGCTAACAGTAATGGGTAACATGTTGAAAAGGTCAGCTAAAGGTACGGGTACACAACTAAAATGTTTGAGATTTAAAAGTAATGGATACATGACTGAACTAGTTAACCAAGAAAATTGGCTGAATGGCTGAAGTAGTTGGCTCAGAGTAATAAATATATGGCTGATATAATTAAGTAAGAGTAACGGATAAAAGGCTGAAGTACTTGGCTAAAGACAACTGGTAAACAACTAAAATATTTAGTGCAAAGCAATGGATAAATGATTGAAAAACTGGATAAAAGGCTGAAAAAATTACAGAAAATTAATGGATAATAGCTAAAGATAATGGGCAAACCGCTAAAATATTTAGCAAAGAGTAATGGATAAATGGCAGAAACAGTTAGCTGAAGATGATCTGCAAAAAAACTAAAATATCTAGATGAAAAAAATGGATAAATGGTGGAAGAAGTCAGCTAAAAGTAATATACAAACTGCAGAGTAGTTAGCTAAAGATAGTAAGTAAATAGCTAAATTTATTAGCTAAAGGTGATGGATAATCGTCTGAGACAACTGGCTAAAAATAATATATTTTTGAAAGATAATTGGCAAACACCTAAAACATTTAGCTGAAAGCAATGGATAAATGAATGAAAAACTGAGCTAAAGGTAAAGGATAAATTGCTGAAAAAGTCAACTAAAATTAATGGATAACCTGGGGAATAGTTAGCTAAATATAATGGGTAGACAGCTGAAATTTTAAGCTAAAAGTGATAAAGTGCCAAAATAGTAAATCCAAATAGTATTGAAACAGTTTTGTCAAAGTAGTGAATACATGGATTGAAAAACTGAGCAAAAAGTAATAGATAATTGGCTGAAATAATTCGCTAAAGATAACTGGCAAACCACTAAAATATTTTGCTAAAAGTTATACATAAATAATTGAAAAACTGAGCTAAAAGTAAAGGATAAAACAGCTAAGAGTCATGGATAAAATGAGGAACACTTAGCTAAAGATAATGGATACACAACTGAAATATTTAGCTAAAAGTGACAGACAACTGTCTGAGATAATAGGCTAAAAATAATCAATAAATCATTAAGTAGTTGTAGATAAATGGTTGAAACATCCAGCTTCAGCCTCTCTGTGTGGTAGTAGTACGAATACAAATTGACCTAAACATAATCGAGAATGTCAGAAGGTGACGGGTGGTGGAGGGGTACTGGAGTCTGACAGCCCTGTATTTAACACCTGTGATACTGTTCTCTGCATTTCCAGTTTTATCCTTGTCTAATGTTCCAAACAGCAACTGTCAGAGGAACTCCAACACACCATCATAATTTCTACTTTACTGCTGAGAATGTTGTGAAACAAAAATGTTGCACCCTCTGCTAAACGTGATCCCTCCTCTCGCTTAAAGTAAGTGAAGGAAGCTTCATAAATAACTCAGCTTTCAGTGCTAGTGTGAGAGGAACTGTGAGATGCTTGATAAAAACCAGCCTGGGCTTTATATATAAAACAAATATCCCATCTCCCTCCAGGCCTGTTAGGGGTGTTCATGAGCCTGCTCGGGGCTGCATCTTACCCTGGTCAGGTACTTTATCTGTGTGTCAGAGGTGATGCAGACAGTGCCTTCCTCTCCGCCGTACTGCACATTCCCCAGGTGGAGCACGCTGGCAATTATGTTCAACAGCTCCTGCAGGGAGAGAAGATGGAGGGAAGGAGGGAGGGGTGGAAGAAATAAGGATAAGGGAAGGAAAATGAAAGATAAAGTGTGACAAAGAGGCGGAGAGAGAGAGAGAACAAAGGTGAAGAGATGAGAGGCCGCAGCACGATAAGATTACACAGGTCTGTAGTTGCTGCCTATCTTTACGACTGTGACCGACTTCTGGGCAGATAAAGGTGGCGCTGATTAAAATAAAGTTAAGACTGGAGCAGGACACGAATGTGCACCGACGATCAGAGCAGGGCCGCAACACTCTCACACCTGCTCCGCACTTTATGAGCAGTGTGAGATCTACAAGGCTCTGGATGCAAGCCCAGACTCATGAGCGTGTAGGAAGACTCCCACGCTGAGCACAAATAAGTTCTCACCATATAATAACACACACACACACACACACACACACACACACTGAGCTCTGTCCAACAAACACTTTCAAACACAAACATCCACAGTGTCAGTCTGAAGCAGAAACAGCTCGGCCCCCTCAGGCACATGGAGTACTTCACTGTTCATGGTGCAACCTGTGGTGTTGGGACACTTACACACATACTGGGAGAGCTGGAATGTTTGTTCAAGTTTATCTGAGGTAAACTTCAACTTTTTAAAAGAATGTAGTAGTCGTCAGATGAGTGTAAATGCAACATATTTCATATATAAGCTTCATAAAATGTAGCTGAAAGTAGGGCTGGGCGATACGGACAAAAATGTATATCTTGGTATTTCCTGTGCAATGGACTACATGTTTTCAGCTGCAAGTCAAAGCCTCATTTGAGACGTCACAAGCACTTTTATAAAAACAGATCAAAATCAAAATAAAATGCAAAGAGAGATTTTATTCACCTGTTTGAAAATATGCAGCTGCACCTCTAAAACACGAGGATACAACATGCTAACATTATTAGCACAAGCCTATGGCATTTTACATTGTATTAATTAGCCTAGCAGCTAGCAGAGATTTCCTCTGCTCATATGAAGCCAGCATAAATCACACACAAGACTTAAAATGCTATTTTAGTGGAGGCTTTATTGTCTTCACAATTTATTGTTTCTTATCTGTGAAATTAAAGTAAATCAGTTTTGTTTCCACTGAGGGAAATGGTTTCAGCTCACAGAAACAGACAGGAGGTCTGCGTCACTGCGGCGTGTAGTTACATTTCTGGGGAGGTGCACATCAGGATACGGCTCTGAGAGGTGTTGCAGGAGAACTTGTGAGTGAGAGATGCACACTGGCATGTGTCATGTAACGCAACTCGACCCTATATCGATATAACTGGTGTATAAGTTTACATCTTGCTTGGAAATATAGCGATACATCGTACATGGTCTTTATATCACCCGGCCCTGGTGGAAAGGTTTCAAAGCTTCCACCTCCTCTGTCTTCTTCAGGGAGAAAGAGACTCGTGCTCCAAGTTTCTCAAGTTTATGCATCGATAATCGTTTTATAATTAAACCCTGAATCGTAATGGAATCAAACCGTGAGGTGCCTGGAGATCTGTGCTACTCTGAGTGACAAACAAACATGTCAGGCGTGATTTACGCAGCTCACACTTGGTCCTCACCTCCACCTCTTCCTCGCTGAAGCCAATCACAGTCAAGGCTTTCTTCACAATCTTCCAATCGCTGCGGTCGTTGATGGAGCTCACTTTGGGACAGTTACCCTGTGGAAAACACACACACACACATAATATGTTTATCACCTACGTCAGTGTTTCATGTCCTGGTGAATTAATTAACACGTCCGGCAGAATCCATAAAGCAGGTGATGTGTAAACAGCTGTTTACATGAAAAGTAAACACCTATTTATGTGTGATGTAAACACCTCTTTAGACAAACACACGTATGAGTTGTTTTTGCTCAGTGGTTGTCGTTGTGTGTGTTTATCGAGTGGAGGGTTCAACGAGTGCCTTAAGGCAGATTTCCCCCCTGAGGAAAGCTTTCTCTCGCTGCGCTGAGAGTCCCTGACTTAGAGCCTATTAACCAGAACTCCCACTGGGACACACACACACACACACAAACACACACAGACCAATGGCTTATGACAGGATGGAGAGAGGGAGCAGGCGTGAGTGAGAGAAAGATTTACTGCAACTTCCCTGCAGTATTTACAGATGATTTATATTCACACACAGGTTTCCCTCCACACCAGCATCAGGGGGTTTATGGACAACAACTTTACTAATATTTAAAGGGACAGTTCAGTTTGTTTCATTTTTGAAGTGGGGCTGTGTGGGCTACTCCTCCATACACAGCATATTACACACAGTAGATGTCAGTCAGCACGCCCCCGTTTGGGGAAGCAGGCTGTTTTTCTCAGTGGAGTCTGGTGGCTTTGACGAGAGCATAGATTAAGCCATCAACAGCTTTCCTGTCACAACAGGCTGTCTGACGGAGAGGTAAAGCAGTGAAAAAACTCTCAATATACTGTACACGTAAACTTATGTAGATTGTTTTAGGTGGCAAACATACGTTTTGTTGCCGACCCCTCCGCAGCAGCACATTGCTTAGCTTCCGTGACGCACTCCAGCCTGCTTCTCCAAACTGGGGGTGTGCCGACTGACATCTACTGTGTGTAATATACTGACTATGAATCAGTACCTCATACAAACTCCCTTCAAAAAATCCGAACTATCCCTTTAACCATGACCTAGCATTAATGCAGGTTTATGAACTAAAAAACAAACAAACAAAAAAAAAAAACAAGATGCAGGGAGCACACAGAGAGCTCCCATGGGGTCAAAGACTGTGTCCCAGCCCTAATTGAACAGCCTCAGGGAGCGATCACACCGAGATGAAACGCTAGAAACGCGACGCCAGTAAAAGCATTGTTTTCCTATGATACGGCGCATCTGACCGGCATTCAAGTGTCTTTTTAGACGGGCGTTTTTCCGGCGTCTTTTTCAACGTACATTTTTGTAGACGCTTCTTTTTAGACACGCGTAGACGCTGAAAAGTAAAAATATTTTCAACTTTTTTGAGCATAAGACGGCAGTAGCTAGCGCACATTGAATAAGCGCTTCCAGCGTTTCAAGCATCTTTGAAGCATCCGCATCTCTAGCGTCTCATTTCTGGAACCAAAGACTTCCAAAACAGCTCCGGTCATTATGAACTCTATTAAAGGTCTGGTGTGCAGGATTCAGTGGCATCTAGTGGTGAGGTTGCAATACTGAAACTTCTTTAATGTGCCAAGCAACTACGGTGGCAGAGATGCTAATGGTCTGATCTAGAGCTAGTTTGGTTTGTGCGTTCAAAACAACATAGTGCTTGGTATGTAGATATAAGCAGCTCATTCTAAGGTAACTAAAAGACATCAGTTCTTATTTTCCAGTGATTATACACTAAAGAAAACATTATATGCCCCTAAACTCTACACACTGACTCTTTAAAGTAGCAGACACTTACTTT